TACAATATGTTGATATAATTGAAATAAATTAATAATAAATACTAAAGTATTGGTGATACTGTATGACACAAAATAGACAAGTCTAATTTTGAGATAAGTAGACATCGGATTCATTGTCTGTCAACTGGGGTGCTCTCTGCTTGCTCGAGGCGGGGGCCACCCTCCGCCCCCCACGTTCGGACTCACTAGGTAGTAGTCATCTGTCACGGAGATGGTGATGCTGAATGTGTTGAGTGTCTGCAGCGGGCGGAGAGAAGGGGCCCAAGGTGACACCCTGCCGGCGGGAGCACAGGCCAGGGGCCCCTCCCCCACTCCCAGGCCGGCTCCCCGTCCCTTCCCTTTACCTCGAAGTCCAGAGGGCTGGCCAGCCTCACTTGCCCAGTGTTTGCGGTGACATTGAAGAAGTGGGCATTGGAGCCGCTAATCCCATACGTGAGAGGGTCATTGTCCTGGTCTTCGGCTACCAACCAGAAGGCCTCGGCATCTGGGGGTGGAACAGGGTCCACAGCCACCTCGCTCAGGGCCGAGCTGCCCATGAGGCCTGGGCCAGGCGCCTGGCTTCTCTGCACTCAGCTAGACCTGAAATCTAGAAGCTCCCCAGTCCTCAGGGCTCCCCCCCCAGGTCAGGACGCTGTCACTCAGCAGCCTCCTAGAGGCCTTTTGATAGCAGCGGCCTGGTCTCCTTTGGGGGCGTTGCCCTCCCTGCGGACGCAGCTCTGAGCTTTGGTAAGAGCAGACTGACAACAGCTCCAGCTCGGAAGGTTTGGTCCCAATCCCTCCCTGGCATGGCCCCTCCCCCGGGAAGGCCACTGGCCCGGTGTTCGGCCGAGACCTCAGCGTGCACATCGCGATTGCTAGATTTCCACGTCCCAGGGAGGCTGGAGAGGGAGGAGTGTGCAGGGCCCCGGGGCACGGGCCAGGGAAGCCTCGGGCCCGAGTGGGCAGGCCTGGCCCTCGGCAGCACCCTCGAGGCTGGCATGGCCGGTGGGCAAGAGCAGCAGCGGTGAGGGTTCCTGCCGAGTGCTGTGACCTCTTCTCCTATCCCCAAACCTTCAGTGCACGCTGTGACGTGCAACAGAAGACGCAGCCCAGTGCAAGCTTGGAGCAAGAGGAAGTGGGGAGAAGCAGCAGCCTTGGCGGGGG